CCCCCCCCCCCCTTTCAAAATCCTGGCTACGTCCCTGCTCCAAGAACAGGCCTATACCGTAAACCCTCGAAAAAACCCTTTGGCTTCTTTTATCTTTGACCTATATATGAATGAATAACAATAAATAGGGCCACTGTAACATCAGTCTGTATCAGTGTAACCGACATTAAATCACCTAAATTGTTGTATTATAAGCCAAGCATGTAATCAATTTTTGTTTCTTTGAAAATTATGTAGTATGCGCTGTACTATCTCGAAATGAAGCCGGGCTTCTTTTCGACCGTCTTTTTCTTTTTTTTCTCTCTCTCTTGTTTTTTTTTTAAAGGACTCTGAGGGCTTCAATTCAAGATGGGCTTCTTCTTAAGATTAAGCTTCTATTCCAGGTTAGTTTACGGTGTTATTTACAGAAAACAATCTTACACTATTAATGTTATCATCTCAATTGGCCGGAATTTAAAATAAAGAACTAACTTTTTAATTCAATATCCCCGGCAAGAATGTGGCATGGTCGGGCGTCGCTCAAAACCTGTAGTCCAGGGTTAATTGATTTTAGAATATAAATGTAAAAAAAAAAACATACATTATAAATTGTTTTCCCCCGACGGGAAGGGGATCATTAGGCTTCCCAACGGGGTACCATGCTGCCAGTAGTGCCGTCAGTGGGAAACAATTTATACCCCTCAAATTGAGACATTGAATGTAACACATTCAATGTCTATATGTTTACTTGATAAACTATAATTAAAAAATCCATATCATTCCAAAAGGTTTCAAAAGTTAACAAAAACCCCAAGATACCAATTGCATTAAAAATCCGTTGATCTTGGGATTAAAAGTCACAGTGCTCGGAGAGTTGTTGATTTTGTACAGCGCCCTCAGTTGAATACTCTTTGCGCACCCAGCTAGCCAGCTAGCTCTCATGTTGCATAGCGGTTCGCCGACCCGGTCCGCCTATAATGTTTATACGTAAGTTTCACCAAAATAACAACAAAGTTACATGTCAATAACACATTTCAAGGATCTTAACTCACTTGTAGAGATGGGATTATTTTGTAGTATTTTGTAATGTAAATTCAATAGTTGTTATGGTGATTAGGCAAGGCCTAGCCTAGCTAGTCTACCCTAGGATTTTTTAGTTTTAGCTAGCTAGGCCTAGGCTAGCCTCCCTAACTTCTTAGTCTGCCTAACCTAGGTTACTTAGTTAGGGCGTAGGCCTACATAACTAGGCCTAGACTACTGCTAATAAATGCAGGAAATCAAGGCCGACGTTCCGCAAACCATGGTCCGCGGCCCAAAATTTGGCCGCGAAACATTTTTGGAGGGCGTGAAGCCGTCTGGAAATTGAAAAAAAAAAATAGACGTTTTATCATGGAGAAAATAGTTTTTTTTAATAAATCCGCTTCATTGTTACAGTGAATGCGTCGCTTGCACACGCTGCTAAAGTGCCAGATGATGCGTTCTATTTGAGTTTTTATGTCTATGCCCCCTCGGGAGCCTTTATCTGTATATTTATTCCTGATAGTTCTAGTATGCAACATTATTTTCTATAAATAAATATAGGCCTACTGTAAATATACCTTTTTTAAGTCAAGCGCGAATCCAGAGTTTACCCTGGCTATCGCACAGATGGGTTCCAATATTGGGAGAGTCATGAGAAGAGAGCTAGCTTGTTTTGTCGCTGAAAGATAAATTTTAGATATTCGAAAAGTTTTTGTTTCTGAAGGCTTTACAGTATAACCAATCCCCGTATTTCTGATAGATTGCTGATTAAAATGTAAAATATTTAAGATTTTATATGCAGTACATTCTCATATGTTATGTAAATCTCATATATATCCCAAAATTACGTTATATTCATGCACCGAAGTAGAAAGTTTAACTTAATAATTTTGATATGTTTTATGTTGAATGGTTTTAAATGATATTATTACAGTCTAATATGATCACAACATAATGAAGTCCTCTCCTTTAAACTTCTAACCTACTATACCTTGCATATCTCAATATACATATATATTTCCTTAAATCAAGAAAGTCCACTCGTTAAATTAGTATATATAATATAGAGAATTTTGTCTGTCAATCTCAAATATCCAAATTTTAGGAAATTATGTTTTATGCATGCACCGACATGAGAACTTTAACCTAATAACTTTGACATGTATAGTTTTATGTTGTTTGTTGAACGGACTTCTTTAATAATAATATTACAGTCTAATATGACCACAACATAAGGAGGTCCACTCCGTAAATGTTTAGCATAATATTATTGTACAGAGAATTTTGATTATTTATCAATATCATCATGTTAGATCCAAATCACGTTTTATGCAAGCACCGACGAGGAAAGATTAAACATAATAATTTTGATAGTACATGTTTTATGTTATGTGTTGATTGGTCTTAGTTAATAATATTACAGTTTAATGGCTTAACGTAATAATATTATAGTTTAATGGTCTACAATAACATTGCAGTTCAATGGCCCCGGAACCCTGAACCCCGACCTGGGGCCCTTGGCGGCTCCCTAGCCCCAATAATCAGTGCTTGCGCTTCGCTCGCAACCTGACCATTTCACTTCCCGTGGCTATGGCCCTGCTATAACTTGTGTGGCTGAACCGTGTTTTGTTGAGTCATTGTAGAAAGAAGAATCAATCAATTGTCGGAGGTGGTGGGGGGGGGGTGTAAACACAAATGTACGGTATTATTTATTTAATAAAATAATATTTAATTTGTATACAATAAAATTTTATCACTGAGAGAACAGACAATGATGTCAAAATATTGTATAGGCCTATACATGGAGGCTTCATGATCAAAAGTTCTTGCCAAGATTTGGTATGTTGGTCCCTCCGCTGCTGGGCCGCGGCTTGGTGCCTGGAATCGTAAATAGGCAGTGAAGTAAAAAGTTTGCGGAACGCTGATCTAGGCAACTTCACGTATGACCCTCTCTCCCTCAATCACTGTCTCTCATTGCTATGTATGACATTGTTGTGCGCATTTTGTTCCTTTTGCTCAATTCGAGTTGCTGAGGTATTCTCAAAGTCGTTTCAAACTGTGCGCTGTATGCATTTGTGGTAAAAGTGTGACATTAATATTTATGAAATGATATTGACATTAACTTATTAGATTATGATTCAACATACAGTAATGTATTTTTTGGGAGATATAGGGAAATTCTGGTGTTTTAATCGATCGGAAAATTTGCAATGATAACAGATAGGCCATCCATGTTGTATGTGGGACACACAGTAATTATTGAATTTATTAAAGATATACCACTATTAAAAAACTATGAATAAGCCTAGGCCTAATATGGGAATTATATAAGTCACTCGTGACGTCATCACTGCAACTCCCAATATTATTTGCCTATTTCCTACCGTCCACTAATTTTTCAAATAGTGGACACTTGGCTTGATTTTTTAGGTTCGTGTACAAAAATAAATTCCTCATTTTTTCATCACGGCGAAAACATCCTGCGTGCACCGCGATAAAAAATGAATTGTGATTGAAAATTACTTTCGTAAAACAATGTTTATTACAACCCGAAGAAAGTTACTTTAAATTCAATATTAATTTAAGTATGAACAGTTAAGCAATTCCTTGAATCAATGAACCCCAATAATCTAAACAAACTGAATGTTTAATAGGAATTGTCTAGACCTATTTTAAAGACTCAAGGAATGAAATTAGATGTAGAGCCGTCAAGGCCTCCTCCTACTACTAGCCTAGGCCCCTAGGCTGTATAGCCTAGCGTAGTTATGAAATCATCACAAGATTTTTACCTGTCTGCTCTGACGAAAAAGTTAGTGACAGTGACTGTATTCTCTCTCGAATGCTTTGAAAAATGTTTATTTCTTTGACGAATGTGAAAAATTACTAACAAGTTCTTCTAACACAATACAAATTACAAAATAACCTAGGCCTAGTTATTCATCGTATCCATATAGTACTGCTGATGTGTAGTTAACGTGTAGGCGCCGCATCAGAAGCACAAATCAGCATACGCACAAAATATAAATACGCACACAGTATACTGATCGTATCACTATAGCAACCGATGACTAGTACAACACAGTTGGTTATAAAAACTAACATTAAAAGACGGCGATTGACTTATAAAGCAATTAGTGCATGCATCGTACACTAGCAGAAAGTTATTTAGGTGTTTTTTGTTTCAAGCATTAAATCTAACCTTCGAATAATAATTTTCCTATAGTGTGCTATGCGGAGCTCTACTAATTGCTTATTAGTTTTTTACAGATTCATCTGGTTAGGCCTAGCCTATGCCTCCTACTAGGGCCAGGCTAGGCCTAGTCGTACATTGAAATCCATCTTTCAGGCTTTTGTCTGGCAACTAACGAAATAAACCTCGCAAGACAAAGAATGTAAGACAAAGTATGTAGGCAAATTAGGCCTATAGCCTTTAGGACTTTAAAAAATTTTTATAACACTTTTCAAATTACAGGATAAGATTCCTGAATGTGGTTTTTTTTTTTTTTTTATGAAATGAAAATCATCATCCAACAATGACAACTTCTTCTCATTTGCATTTCTATGTATATATACATAACAAAAGCATGACAACACCAATTTTGAGTGATACTTCAGCAAAGTGTAGCAGTTTTTCAATTACCCAATCAAAATCAAGACTTTAGAAGCAAGACCTCTCTGCCGTATGCTATCAGTTTCATTCGTGATGTATCCAGAAAATCAGGAAATTAAGTGAACTTATTAGTTTGTCATTTGTATAATACATAGCCATTGCGATATTATTTGCGATGGTTCCAGATAAGGCCATGGAAAAAAAAAATGAGTTGTTGATTGTCCTTTTTAAAAAAAAAAAAAAAGTATGTAGGGTGGGAGGTGTCAAGCTAATGAAATCTCCCCATTGAAGTGCAAGGCCTCATGTAAATGGTGGCTGACTTTGTCTACCACTGGAGTGCGCCCCTAGAGTTTTCGCTATGCCAGATAAAGTACACACTTCACATTAAAACACAAATACACATACATTCTATATTCTGTGGTACTGTAATTCTTTGTGAATGTAGACAATATTCCAAATCATGTACCTAGCGCCTTTTCCTAGCGGTTTCTTTCTACTAGACACCAATTTATAACTTGTGAGTGTTCAGATATGTACTGTAGGGATTGTCTGACCCAAAATTAAACAAAAGTAATCTGATTATCATGAGACACGGGACACATAAGTTCCAAGCCAGAATCTGTCCGCTTTGTCATGTTCCCTACTAGTAATTATTTACTATGTTCATCTCTTTTGTTTTAGGTTTCTTCTGTGTCAGCATCAGTGAAGTTTGGAGATAAAGTTTCTAGCCATCTCAAATGTTTGAATTTCTTCCAGCATCGTTCCTCTTATTACTGCATCGTATGATCAAATGGGTTTTACACAAGTTCCTTGGGGCATGTGAATTACAGAGGCTGTGTCGGGACTGCCCGGCTGGTTCAACGCGAACCAAAAACATTGGTATGTACAGTATTCAAAATTACCATCATTTTATGATGGCAAAGTTTATCTGTATATTGTCTGTATGCCCATAGGATTGGTATTCATTCTTTATTTGATATTCGTCTTTATTTTTACCAAACTTTTAACTATAAGAAAGCATTTATAAGTGAGTAAATTATGGTTCTGTTTAATATACCTTTATCACAGACAGAAAGTCTATAAAAAGTAATAATAATTTTTGATGACAAAACATTGATATTATTGTTCTGGTGATTAAAAGCAGTAACTGTGTACTGTACTATGTTTACTTGGTGCTACAGAGGTTAGATGCTCAATTCGAATCCCGAGTCCCAAGGTTCTGGATTCAAACCAGGAACAAATGTTATGATTTTCTTGCCACTAAACTCCACAGGCATGGGGTCAATTACGATGAAAATGTAATCAATTACAATTGCAGTTGCTCTATTTTGCTAATTATAATTATGATTACATTTTCTCACTTACGATTACAATTACATTTCTTTTTTTCCCCCTTTTTTTCCCTTTTTTTTTTTTTTACTTTCCAAAAGGAAGGCCAATCCGGCCCAATAACTTGTGGATGATTAACTCTACCACTGCACTGGTACTGGTTGTAATAGCCGTCTTGAAGAAAGAAACTTGGCAACTTGAATAACTTTCTTAAATTAAGCTGATAATAAACATTTAAATAGGAAGAAAAACATAATCCTCATTAGGATTTGACTCAAATACTTACTGTTCAGATACCCTATCAACTAACCTATGAGGCCAAGTGGTATACACCCTTGGATTACTATTGTTCTTGCTCACTTTGTGTAATTATTGTAATATTTTGCAACCCAGTAATTTCAGGTAGGTTGTAGGTTGAGTACGAGTATGGTTTTGGGATACTTTAAAATTAGAATCTAATGTTTAATTATGGCAGGGAATTTATTATATAAGTAGTACATCCTATTTAATGCAAATTGACAACTCCTTTGTTTACGATTAACTGAAATAACAAACATTAGGAAACAGTTTACAGTCAGATAAACTGTTGCCACCAACAGTTATTTTTGAATAAGCAATAAAGTAGATGAGTTTTCTGCCATCCAGCGAATGAAACAATTTCGTAATGTATGAAATGTAATTGCCATGATTACAATTAAATTTTTCCAATCACAATTACATTACAATTACAAATTACTCTTTTGAACCCAATTATATTACACCCAATTACATTAAAAAATGTAATTATTACAATTACAAATTACGATTACCCCATACCTGATCAGGTATCCTAAATGATGGACTTTGTTGGAGACAACATCCTGGGTTAGTATGATGCAAAATTTATATTAAAAACACACTTTCTCAGCTTATTTCTCAGTTTCTTTGCTTGATATAATATCATTTTCCTTTCTAGAATCCTCTTTAAAAAAATCAAAGCACAGTGCACTGAGGCGAGTGGTTACGGATAGCGAAGACATCACTGTCAAGGATGCAGTTGAAAATGTCATCGCCATTAAAAGAATTGATCCAGAAACCCACAAAGAGTGAGAATATTAAATTGAATCAATTATATCATTATCATTATGGCACCATCACCATCAAAGCACCATCACTATTATGGCTCCATCACTATTATGGCTCCATCACCATTATGGCATCCTCACCATGATGGCATCGTCACCATTATGATACCATCGCCATTATATCACCATTACCATTATGGAACCATTACCATTATGGCATCCTCACCATTATGGCACACTCACCATTATGGCACACTCGCCATGATAACATCATTACCATTATGATACCATCGCCATTATATCACCATTACCATTATGGAACCATCACGATTATAGCACCATTACCATTATGACACCACCATGACAATTGATGCACCATCACCATTGACACCACCATGGCAATTATGGCACCATGACAATTATGGCACCATCACCATTATGGCACCATTTAGCCTTTGGAAAAACTAGAATGTTACAGTTCTCCATTTCAGTAATCTGTAAAAAATAAAAAAAATTGCTAAAGTAATAATGTTCACACAAAGAGTTTTACAGACAATATCATATGATACTATATTAACGTAAGTATAAATAAAGACCTCCACTTTTCATAATTAAAGGTAACAAATTTTGTAGAAAATGATGTATCCTCATTGGAATTCTGATGTGGACATATTTTTTTTTCTTGAAAATCTATTACCCTCTTGGCATCCTAAGTAAGAGTAATTTTAAGTGTTAGAAGATTTAACAGAACTTCAGTCTAGTCTTCCATGATATAATAATTTACTTTTATTTATTTCTTTTTTGTATTTATTAGTGTTGTTGATGCACTTCAGGGAAGTTTACGCCAATCTTTAGGTTACAGAACCTTGTTAAAGGAAGTTGAGAAGCTTAGATCAGAAGCATACTCCTCTGATAATCCAGACCATGAAGATGCATTGATGCAGGTAAGTTGTGAGTTGCAGTGCTACTGGTACTTCTACAAAATTATTGACTGACAGTGACGTCAATATTCTAGTGGCATCAATTAGACAGCAAGGATTGGACATGTCATCAATACAATCTCATTTATCAGCAATGTGGAATATGGCATTAATATGATGGTTAAGATACTTTCCCTCCAATCCCAGAGTCCTGTGTTCAATTTCTGTCATGGTAACATTTTTTTTTTTGCAAAACCAAAACACTCCACTCCCTAAGCATGGAGTGGAGTTGAATAGCTTAGTGGTTAAGATGCTTCCCTTCTGATCCCTGGGTTCTGGGTTCAGTTCCTTTGACAGCAAGACTTTTTCTCACGGCTACAAACAACACCACTCCTTAAGCATCATAAACAGACTTTGCTAGTAAAAGCATCACATTATTTAATTTATTTAAGAGGGCCCCTGAATATCAGCCGACCTTGTAGGATACGCTTCCAAATAATATGGATGAACTGTGTCACCGAATTATACAGATGCCATATGACATTGCAAGTACGGAAACGCAACTTAAACCAAATATTTTGAACAATATTATACATATCGAAGGTTACTCTCCTACTAGGGCAGATTGGTGTGGAGATATAAGAGGAGGAGTGATACTATATGTGAAGGATTCGATATCCTTTGAAGTTTGGACTGAACTAAGCGAAGAAGCGATAGAAAGTATTTAGATAACAATTTGCCAAAATCGCCTTCCTTGTAAAATTGCAAACATCACAATGGGAGTAATCTACCATCCACCAAGCTCAAATGATTTTGAAATGAATAACCATACATACACCCGTATTCTTAAAACAAACTTTAGTCGAATTTCGAACTAGAACTTAATTTAGTGCTAGTTGCAACTTCAACTTCAATCTGTATTCACAAACAAAGTAGTCGAAGATTTAACTATGACTAAATCAAGTTCTAGTTTTAGTTCAACTGAAGATGACTGGCAAGCCAAGACTACCAAACTAACCAATGAAAAGAGCTAACTTTAATAGCAGACAAAATTTTAGTAATCCGGTAATGCGGATGAAAAGTGGCATCGTGGTTAATGGAGTATATAAGCGGATTTTCAACAAGAACTCTAAACTTTTGTTTGCCTTAGAAATGTTAAGTGGCATAACATTTATGAGCTGTATGATGGTCTTTTCCTATTTCATTTTTTAAAGGACCAGCTTCAGAATTTGTTTAACCATCATTTCCCCATAGTCCCTTTAAACCACTTTTGTCATGGACAAACCATGGGTTACAAGTTATTTCAAAAAATTAGTGAGTAAACGGCAGTCTGCTTTCATGCAAGGGACACTAGTGAATTCCCCATGCTTAGAAACAAACTTAATAACTTAAAAAGTATGCGTAAATCCTACTCTCAAAAGAACATTGATAACCTACTAAACTCTGACTCGCGTTCCTGGTGGAAATATACCGAACGATTAATTAATTTAGGTTGCGAGGGTAATCACTCCTCAGCAGGAATGGCAAATTCTTTGTATCAAGGTGATAAGACAGATCTTGTTAATACCATAAACTTTTTTATACTACTGACTTCTGGGTTTAGCCCTCTTAAAACTTCAAACCGCATTTGCTACGGATGAAACGCCCAGTCACCTATCGAGCCAGAGTCTCCCCCAGTAACTTACAGGATCTTGCCGATTCAGCCTTGTCATGGACCAGTGCCAACATTATGACCCTAAATGCCAAATAAACTTGTGAAATAGTTATAAGTTGGATCTGTTCCAATTGGTCAGATTGTGACTTGGTCAAACCTGTTCCCCATACCGGGGCAGCACACTCTAATAATGGTGTGATGGCACAACAGTAAAAATAACACAAAGCTTCTGCATCAAGGCCAGAAGGACGTAATTGTTTGAGAAAAAATTATCTTGAATTCGCCTTAGATACAGCCTCAACGTCGGTTTGCCAAGATAAGTTATCCTCACACCCAAAAGCTAACAACATCTAAGTAAAACTGATCATGTTATTGCTTTTGTTATTGTTATATTTATGGCATTATGGGCCGGTGGCCTGATTGGTTGAATACAGTCGGGTAGTTGACCGAATGAATGAATGAATGAAAGCTCAGTGCTTTCAACTTGGTTGATTAAACAGTTATCAATTACTAAAGGTTCAAAAAATGACTTTGATCTCTTGCAACGCAGAGCTCTCACAATTACTCTCCCAGAGCTTAGCTACTGTAGTGCCCTGACCATGTGCAATATTCCTATGTTGTCTGAGCAGTGCACTCGTCTGTGCAGGGATTACTTCCAGAAACTTAAGAACCCTTTCCACAGACTACACCACCTCCTTCCTAAAGCCCCCTACCCCCCACTACCATCTGAGAAAACCTAAAGAATTTACACTATCAAAGTCAAAACTGAACGATCAAAAAAGTTTATCTTAAATTTTGGTTTGTTCCAATTCTGGTAAGAACTCCCTGCACTGGCAAATGCTATGTTTACTTTCAAAGTCTGTAATTAAAATTATTCAAATAATCTCACTTCAATAATAATAATAATAATAATAATAATAATAATAATAATAATAATAATAATAATAATAATAATAATAATAAAATAAAAAGTAATAATCATAAAAATATTTTTGGTTGCCATATTTCCCATTAAACCCCTTTTTGCTGTTTCTGTGATGTTGTTCCTTTTTGTTGAAAAGTTTTTAAATGTTGATTGTTTAGATTTTTAAGACTGAAACATTTTACTTTTGTAAAATTAAACCCATTGTGAGTGTTGCAGTAAAGAATGATTTTGGAAGGGTCACCCTCTATAAATATAGATTTTAAAAAAAAACCTCCTAATGTGACACAGCTTTAATGTAGTGCATCTTTCCTCGCAAACCATCTACTTTCCTTATCCAAAATGATGATACGTCATGGATTGGACATGAAATATAAGTCCAGTAGAAAATATTTATATATTTTAAAAGCCAACTACTGAATGAAATTATGGTTTGATATGGCATGAATTCTATAT